CGGAAAGTTATATCTGGATGTTCTGGTAAACTAATATTCAAGACGGGGTCATTCTTCAAAATTGCCCAGTTCTTTTTAAGGATTTTTGCAACTTCCTTGTATTGCACTGAAAAATTGGTAATGAATGGGCAAAAAATGTGCAGGTTAATTATATTACCAGAAGCGAGATCAAATATATTCAAATCTCCTACCTCCTTGATATTGTTCAGCGTTGTGGCATCATAGCCTTTCTCTAGGAATCTGTTTTTTAGAATCTCCGCTTGAGAGTGAAAATCTTCCAGACTATCACAATTTCTGCGAATACCCAGAAATTGTCCTTTAGGGATGTTTTTCATCCATGAAGGATGGTGACAGTTGTCAGTAGCTATGTAAATGTTCCTATCTGTGCTTTTAAAAAAAAGTTTTGGTGGTAATTTCAGTGCCATTGTTTATTATAGTAAGATCTAAAAAGTTAATTTCTGCATAGTCATATTGATATGTTAATTTAATATTTAGGTCGTTAAAATTCAACGTGTTAAAAAATTGGTTAAAGAAAATTCATCACCTTGCCATCACAAAAAAAAATATAGTTATGTAGCGACAGTAAAAAAAAAAAAAAAAAAAAAAAAAAAAAAAAAAAAAAAAATCAGGCCATTCTTTTGAGTAAATAAGATCTTCCTCCCACCTAGACATGAATAAATTAGCTAAACTGGGAGCAAATTTTGCTCCCATTGCAATGTTCGTCAGATCTAAAATAAAGTCCTTCTGACGTGAGGGGATATCTATAGCTGTGTTCACAGCGGGTGTCAACGCATTATATAGTAACATTAAACATGCAGATGGCATGGCGGCAGTTGAATTTTATTTAATGTTACTATATAATGCGGTGACACCCGCTGTTACTAAATAGGTGGGGGCTTCAATCTTTATATCTCTTTTATCCGTAGTATCTTTCAGGAAAGCAGGAGTAGCAGTAACCAGTGGCTGCAGGAAGGAAGAAATCAATATATTCCCCAATGCGGGAGCTGAGTGAACCTATCCCACTTACTATGGGTCTTCCTAAGGGATGTATAGGATCCTTATGTATCTTGGGTAGACAGTAAGGAATGGGTAGTCTCGGGGCTACTGGACGTGGAAAATATTTATTTTTTATTCATCAAACCTTCCTCATATCCTTTTTTGGTTATCTTTTTAAGATCTTTCTTAAAGGGAATAAGAGGGTTCTTCAGTATTGGTTTAGAAGTATCCTTGTCATCAAGGATTTTATAAACTTGTGCCATGTAATCCTCTTTATCCAGGACTACCACTCCACCCCCTTTATCAGCTGGACACATAACAAGGTCTTTGTTTTCGAAAAGCGTTTTTATACCTTCATTGATATGCTGCTGGTTATTCCAATTCTTAACTTTAAGGTTATCCAAATCTTTTAAAACCATATTTCTGAATATATTGATGTGAGAATGAGAGGGAGGATTAAATAAAGAAGCATTTTTTAAATGTGAGACTTAGATGTCACTATGCATATTGTTATGTTCTCGTGAGAGACAATTTTCTTGTGAACTTATGGATATCAATGTAAGTTTTGAATTTATTTAATCTGGCTTTTGGAGCAAATTTTAATCCTTTATTCAAAAGAATTCATTATGCTCTGCTCAGGTTAAAAATACCGTTACTGTCTACATTCTTTTTTTGGGGCTCATTGACCCTCTTTCCCCCTCGGTTTCCTCTATTCTAAAGCTTCGTTTCCTTGTAGGGCCTCCCCCTAAAAAAATATATTGTGCTGTTGACCTGGCATTTCTGAGAAAAGGTTAGGCTGTCTATGGTTATTCCTTGAATCATTATGGAAATGAGTATATTCATTGCCTGAAACTCTTCTATTATGGGCATAACCATTTTGTTGATACTGTTGGTAGGCACCCTGGTTACCTCTTACTGGTGGGTAATAAGAACTATTACCTCTGTATCTAAAAGGGGACTGAGTGTAGGCTTGTTGGGACCCATTATTGCCCCTATTTGAATGGTTTTGCTCAAATGTTGGTTGGGGTATTGATTATAGTTACCCCTAGGGTTCCTCCATGATCCATGCCTACGTCTAAATTGATCTGATCTTCCATTGTAATTGGGATTGAATGTATTAGGCCTCTCATGTGGACTTCTGCCATAATTTGGTCTCTGTCCATAATCTATTGGGTGGGTTCTCATGTCTCTAATCCCTATATTAGATTCATTTTTTTCATATAAAGCTTCAAATCTATTATAGGTAGGGACACCATATCCATAATTCCCACTTCTTGATGTTGTGGGGATGTGTTTGTACTGGGGATGTGGAGATGCCTTCTATGCTCACTGTGTTCCAGATTATTCCACCATCCTTACCTGTACCCAGATGACCACAATGGGATAATATATATGCATGCGCTTTATTTTTGCGCTTCTGGTGAGTGCAATCATATTACCCGTTCCAATCACGGATATCACCAACACGGATCACATGAATTTTGGACTTTTATTTATCCTGCTGATTTATGTCAATTATTTACCAAACACTAAAGTCACCTTGTATTTATTTATCTATTTAATCACTTACCTAAAACGTCATTATAGGACCATTCACGTTATACCTGTTTATCACTTTTAGCACAATCAAGCACTCAAGCCAGTCACTTTTGTTATTTTAAGCGCTGCATTTTATATATATATATATTCGTTTAGAGGGTAAACGGTTTTACCTTAATGCAAGCAGCTATACAACCAAGTGCTTAACCTTACTCCTTTATTTACTCATAGTTGATGGTTTGCTTCAGTTGTACTAACAGGAACCAAAATACTCCAGGAAAACGCTTTTCATGCTGAGCTAATCAAAATGACCACAACTGATCACAGTTAAAGGCTTTGTGTGCCTTTGAGAAGGTGATAAGCTACACCTGACTAACTTTACAAGTCATTTTTAGGAGTGTGATGCTTTTCCAATTCAGCAATTCTGTTTTTTATTTTTTTCTGACATGTTGGCTTTTTTAGATCTTTCACTTGCATGTTATAAGTTCCACTGAGTAAATACGGCCGGATAAACAAAAACTATGTGTCTTAATTTAGAGTGCAAGCAACAAAATAAGATTATTTTAAAGGGGGGTGATTTCTATACCCACTGTAATGTTTAAAAAAAAAAAAAAAAAAAAAAAAACAAAACACACTTTACAATTTTTTTTTCCATCCAACAGATTGCCCTTCTGACTACATGGTGTTCCAGTATCACAGAAAGTGTAGGTTTGTTTAACCACTTTTACCCCTTTCCTGCCCAGGCCAATTTTCAGGTGTCAGCACTCTCACACTTTGAATGACAAATGGTCATGCAACACTGTACCCAAACTAAAATGTTATCATTTTGTTCACACAAATAGAGCTTTCTTTTGGTGGTATTTAATTACCACTGGGGTTTGTATTGTTTGCTAAATTAACAAAAAAAAAAAAAAAAAACAACACGTTTGTTTCTGTTATAAAAGTTTGCACTGTAAAGGCTTTTAAAGTGTTGCCTAGGGAGAATGTTGTGATTTCTTTCTGTAGTCTCATTCCTCTGCTATTTGCAGGAGTCATTTCTGACAAGCTATGTAACGTTCAAGGGATAAAAGGGGGCCTACAGCCTGTGATTGACAGCCTCAGCTGTGCATGTTTCCCTTTGAGATTGTGCAGAAGGGAGCGTGTCCCTTCCCCCCACTCAGGTCTCAGATTACACTCCGCTCTCCTCTGATCTTGGACTTGATGTAGAGAAAAGAGTTTGCAGAAAAACAGGTACAACTTATGCAGGAGAATTTGTTTAATCTTTGTGTATAATTTTAGGTTAGTCACTTAACTGGGAATACATGAGGGTTTAGAACCGCTTTAAAATATGTAATGGATTGTATATTAGGTATACAATCCAAGAGTTTTTTTTTTTTTTTTTTTTGTATAAATGAAACTGGACAAATGTCAAAAGGAACTGTAATGGCTTGCTGCTGCACAAATCAGTACAAAAAGAACTGGAAATATGCCAAAACATTCTAAGGCCCCCTTCACATGGGCAAACAGACTCAAAAGCAGAGACAGCAACAAGAATAAGCAGATTTTTGCTGACAGAGGACACGGTCTGCTGATTCTTTCCGCTGTCTGTGCCTATTTGGCATTTGAAGGAGGCCTTACACTTAGACATTTTGTAAAGGAATTTTATTTTTTTTGTTTTTTTAAGGTGCATATTAAAAAAAGAAAAAACAACTGTTTACAAACTTGTAGTCAACCATTTAAAAATTTAGCCAACTACAAAAAAAAAAAAAAATATGGCAACTGTCCCAACCTATAACCAGACCAGCAAGGTGCACATGGAAGGGCAATGCACATCGCAAAACAAAGGATTTCCCAGCAACACTACCAGCCAGCTTGCAAAACAAACAATTTGGCCCTGTCTAAACAGTATGCGTTAAAAACAGAGGGTTTTGTTTTCACAAATTTGCAAATACATGCATAAGCCACAGTCCCAGGTCAAGGGTACTCTATATGTGGGAGCACATGTATAAATGGATAGGTTTTTTTGTAGTTGGCTAAATTGCATGCAGGGATGCACTGGATGCCTTTGCTGTCATTTTGGTATAGCTGGGTATCACGTGCGTCCCTGTACCTTTAAGGAGGAATGGGCTCCTCCAGGCACACCTGCCCTTAACCTATCCATTTATACATGTGCTCCCATCATGGAGGCTTTGGAAATTTTAGTTATGTCCACAGTATATAGAGGTCCCTTGACATGGGACTGTGGCTTACACATGCTGGGAAATCTTTTGTTTGTTTTGCGATATCTAAAAATCTCACATATTTTTTGGCTACACAGTAAACTGCAACAATTTGCATAACTTAACAACTGTATTTTTCAATGCAAACATGCTTTTTGGTAGCTACTATATCAACATCATCTTTCCGAGCCATCTCTTCAAATTGATTTTCTAGAATGCTGCTAAATTAGATTTGTCATGTGAAGTCTCTCAAAAAGGACATATTGGTCATTCACAGTGGAATGTAAAGAGTATTACCTGGCTGATAGTTGGTAATTTAGTCAAAAGCATCTGGAAGACTTGTGGTGGAAGAGTCTGTTGTAAAACCTGAAGAAGCTGTTGTGGTTGTCCGCAAACTGCAATAGCATTTGTCAAATGATCCACACCCTTTTCAAAATCACCTGGTTACAGAAAAATACAATTTAGTTCCAAACAGAAAAACATAAAACTGTAATGCTCTTCTGATGATGAGCAAGACCAGTTGCACATGAACATAATTTACCAATATTTATGCTCAGGATCTTGTTGACAGAAAGATGTAAAGAAATAAAATGTTCTGAATGTTCTAAAAATCTTCTTTATCCTCCAATTGCCAGTGTTTCAGCGTATGCAGGTAAATTACAGAACTCAAACGTAAAATTTTCTATTTTTATTTTACAGCTCTGTACTCAACTATGTATTACTGATCTTTACAGAGCTGTGTGCACTGTTCAATGGTGCATCTGTTTTCAGATCAGTGGCGTTTTTTCACTCCATGTGGCATTATATTTTTTTTCAGCCCGCTGAACTGCTGAAGGCGACAGTAAATACTAACAATTTAGAAAATAATATTTTAAACTACAGTCAGCATGGATTCACAAAATATCAATTTCCAAACAAAATGCAAAAACTTAAGACAGAAGGACTGGCTGTGGACATAGTATACTTTAATTTTGCCAAAGCATTTGACACAGTTCCCTACACCTGCCTAATGTGTAACTTAAAAGTCCAGTCTGAGAAAATTCAGCTTGAATACAGTTTTAGCCAGTTTTCTATCCATTTACAGAGAGTAGAGATGAATGCCTCCTACTCTGGTCTCAGGTTTTTAGTGGTGTACCCCAAGATTCAGTGTTGGGACCCTTCCTTAATATATTTATAAACGATAACAGGTCTGGGATTAAAATAACATTTCAGTGTTTGCAGATGACACAAAGCTATGGAGTGGAATTAAGTCCTTACAGAAAGTCATCAATTTAGAAGCAATTAAACAGACAACTGAGGTCGGCTTGTAAATTGAAGGGCACCCAAACTGATAAGAGGCATGGAGGAGCTCAGCTATGAGGGAAGATTAGAGGGACTGATCCTATTTTCTCTTTAGAAGAAGCGATTAAGGGGGAATATGATGAACATGTAAAAAAAAAAACAAACAAAAAAAAAAAAACACCATACGTGGACCATATGGAAAAAACTTGGTGTAGAGTTATTCCGTTTAACCACTTGCACTCCAGAGGATTTACCCCCCTTAATGACCAGGCCTCTTTTTACTACTCGCGCTTCACTAATTCAACTGATAATTATGTCCTTTTTTCACACAAATAGAGCTTTCTTTCAGTGGTATTTGATCACTTGTGTGCTTTTTATTTTTCACGCTATAAACAAAAAAAGAACTAAAATTTTGAAGAAAATCGATATTTTTTACTTTCAGCTATAAAAAATATATAGTAAACTCAAAGTTAGTTATAAATTTAGGTCAAAATGCATTCTGCTACATGTTTTTGGTAAAAAAAAAATCCCAATAAGTGTATATTGATTGCTTTGTGTGAAAGCAATAGTGTCTACAAACTATGGTATAGATACTGCAATTTCCGCCATTTTTTTTTGCTATACAGCGCTGCCCTAGTTTAACGGACAACTGCGCGGTCATGCAATAGGGTACATAAATTAAATTTATGGCCTTTTTTCAAACAAATAGAGCTTTCGTTTGGTGGTATTTGATCACCTGTGCACTTTTTATTTTTGGCGCTATAAACAAAAAATATTTTTGAAGAAAAAAATTATTTTTTTTTTTTTTTTTTTTTTTTTTTAAACAATATTTTCTCATTTCGGTCATACAAAATATCCAAAAAAACTAAAATTTCATCATAAATTTAGGCCAGAATGTATTCTGCTACATGTTTTTGGTTAAAAAAATCCCAGTAAGTGTATATTTATTGCTTTGTGTGAAAGTTATAGCATCTACAAACTATGGTATAGATAATGGAATTTACACAGCTTTTACTTTCTGACTGCTCATCACATTACTTGCGGTGCTAAAATACCAGGATAGTACAAACACCCCCAAATGACCCCTTTTTGAAAAGTAGACACCCTAAGCTATTTGCTGAGAGGCATATTGAGTCCATGTAAGATTTATTTTTTTTTTTCAGAAGTTTCTGGAAAATGACAGACAAACATTTTTTTTTTTTTTTTTTTTTTTTTACACAAAGTTGTCATCTAAATGATTTATTTCTCGCACAAGCCATGGGTATATTATTATACAGGATTTATATAGCACCAACAGTTTGCTCAGCGCTTTACAGTATAACGGGAGACAATATAGCAACAATACAGTTCAATACAAGAGGGATTTGAGTTTACAATCTAGGGTATATGTGGAATTACAACCCAAAATACATTCTGCTACTTCTACAGAGTATGGGGATACCACATGTGAGACGTTTTGGGAGCCTAGCCATATACAGGAGCCTGAAATCCTAATGACCACTTTAAAAGCCTGAAGGTGCGTAACTTCCTCATTTCACTTCCTCAAAACCTATCACAGTTCCGAAGGCCCTGACATGCCAGGATAGCACCCCCCCCCCCCCCCCCCCCCCCATTGACCGCTTTCTGGAAAGTAGACACCCCAAGGGATTTAAAAAGAGGCATGGTGAGTATTTTGCAGATCTAATTTTTTTCTCACAAGGTTTTGAAATATAAAAAAAAAAGAAAAAACAAACATTATTTCTCTTCTTTTACAAAAACTTGTGGCAACAAATGAGATCTGCAAAATACTTGCAATTCTTCTTATCAAATTCCTTGGGTGTCTACTTTCCAAAAAGGGGTCATTTGGGGGGGTTAGGTGCTATCCTGGCATTTCAGGGCCTCCGAAACTGTGATAGGTAGCCTGGAAGTATAATGAGGAAATAAAGTCCTTTAACCGCTTGCCGCCCTGCCACTGTATATATATGTGTGCAGGGCGGTACTCAGGCGCAAAACCACGTTTTAAAACGGGTTCCGCACTCCCGCCGTTTTCGCCGGCAGGTGGGTGACACCATTCGATCCCGGAGAGATCAATCATTAGATTTCAGCAAGTGATGTCTGGCTGAAATCGGATGATCGGTCCCTGTCCTATGTTGACATTTACACAGGACAGGATATGATGTCATTCTTCTCTGCCTGGACACATTCCGTTCCAGACAGAGAAGAAGACATACAAAAAGTGAGTACAAAGCACTACACTAACAGTTAGAACACACCTAGGACACATTTAACCCCCCTGATCGCCCCCCCCCCCCCCCCCCCCAGTTAACCCCTTCACTGCCCTGTCACCAGTGTCACTGATCAGTGAAGCGATTTTTACTGATCACTGTATCAGTGTCGCTGGCGACTTCCGATAGTGTTAGTGCCCTACCCAGATAGCGCCAGTTTGCCCGCCAGTACACCAGTAATCCCGTTTAACCCCTTGATCGCCCCCCCAGTTAACCCCCCACTACCCTTCACTGCCCTGTCACCAGTGTCATTGATTACAGTGAACAGATTTTTACTGATCACTGTATTAGTGTCACTGGTGACTTCCGATAGTGTTAGCGCCCCTCCCAGATAGCGCCAGTTTTCCGCTAGTACACAAGTAATCACATTTGACCCCTTCATTGCCAGGAACACGCTTACTTGCACGCTAAACCTCCATTGCTAGTATAGTGTCTGATTGGATCAATATCTTTGATCAGATCAGCACTATACCAGCGTTGACATTACTATAATATCCCCAAAAACGCAGCGGTTAGCGGGATCAGCCCCGACACCTGCCAGCACCTGTGTTTAGCCCCTACGCCCCCCCCCCTTCTCCCCCAGCAAGTGCAGTGTCAGTAGATAACTGTCACTTGATACATATTACACACAAAACCGCAGTGTTCACAGAATCAGGCCTGATCTCTGTTAGCACTTGTCGGTAAATTTTTTGTAGCGGTTCAAGCAGTCCCTGACAGCCAGGCGCTCTTTTTCCCGTGAGTCGCACTAGGTACCTGTAAATTTAGTGGCCAAAATGTCCAAGCAAAGGTACTCTAGTGAAGAGGCCTATAGGATTCTGAGCATGTCAAGTGAGAGCGAAGGGGAAGACTCACTGGCAGAATCAGGCTCAGAATACGAACCTATAGACAGCAGCGGCACCCTGACAGATAGCTCAGACGACGAGGAAGAGGTCCCTGCTAAGATCAGGTGTACCCGATCCCATTCCCAGGTTGCTGAGGTGGTACAAATGCATGATGACTCTCATATGCAGCAGAGTGCCAGTACTAGTAGTGCCGCACTACCTTTTGGTGAACTGGCGAGCACCAGCGGCCTAGTACATCCTGGTCGTATACATACCAGCACTGCAGTATCACTTGGTGACGTGGCGAGTCCCATAAGTGCAGTACAAGCTGGTGCGGTGGCGAGCACAAGTAGTGTCCCGCGGCCACCAAGAATTCGCAGACAGGCCCGTAGAGCCCCCTAGTGTCCTTCCGGATGTGCTTGCAAATCCCGATTGGCAGCCCACAAATTCTGCAGCACACTTACTTCCCCCATTCACTGCCCAACCCGGAATTCAGGTGGAAACAGCAAATTTAAATACTCCCCTTGATTTTTTTGAGCTGTTTTTCACAGAAGATCTTTATGCATTGATTGTGGATCAAAGCAATTTATATGCACGACAATATATCGCCGCCAACCCAAATTCAATACCTTGCCAGACCATTCGCATGGAAACCCATTACGGTTTCCGAATTTAAAGTTTTTTTGGGCCTAACCCTCAACATGGGCATTAATAATAAAAATCAATTGCGGTTGTATTGGTCCACAGACCCGCTTGTTCACATGTCCGTGTTCTCTGCTGCCATGGCCAGGCATAGATATGAGAAGATAATGCGTTTTATGCACTTCTACGACAACACACTCAGTCGTCCTCGGGGTGACCCTGAATTTGACCGGCTCCACAAAATTCGGCCCCTCGTAAATCACTTTAACCAAAAATTTGCAGATGTGTATACTCCCCATAAAAACACCTGCATCGATGAGTCCCTCATTCAATATTCTGGCCGCCTTCTAATCAAACAATATCTCCCCAGCAAGCGTGCCAGATATGGGATCAAGATGTATAAGACCTGTGAGAGGGCAACAGGCTATACAT